TTCAAAATTTATTTAAAAAAAAAAAAAAAAAAAAATTTAGCCCATGTTTGAGCCACATTGTAGGAAAAAATGCATTATTCATATCAAATCAATAAAAAATGTGTGGTTAAAAAATAAGGGAAAGTTTTAAATTTACGTGTAATATTATTTTATTGAAAAATGTGGTTAAAATGATATCAAACCACTATTGAAGAATGTATTTTTTTGAAAATAATGTGGCTCAAACAATCCCTTAATTTCTTTTATATATAATATTGGCATGCCAAGTATTAATTATTAAATATGTCCTAATTTCATTAGGTTCAGAGTAAAGAATAACTCGAAAAATCATAGGAGAGAGCATAATAATCTTTGTAATTGGTAGTAACCAGTAGGAAATCATCTGCAAGAGAACGGTTATATTGTTTAGACAAACTCAACCAAAGAAGAACTAACAAATCAAGACCGAGCCCAGATCATCATTTTGAAAGTATACTTGGCCTAAAAGGAAAATTATAATTGCGTAAAACTCTTTTCAACCGGCAAAAGAAATTAAAGCCATACCGCAGAAGAAAGCATGCACTTGAAATCACAATTTTGAAGCATAGTTGCACAAAAAAATCAGAATAGTCACAAAATCATTAAAATACAAGAAAAAGTCCTAATAAATCCTTATTACATGTCCGAAAACAAACTGCTTTCCGACATAATAGAAGAATCAACCAAATGAAGTCAAGTCAGTCTCCTTTGTATTTACCATGAAATTTTGGTGCCAGAAAGGTTGTTTGAGTAGGAATATGCCGCCTTTGGCCAAGCTCCTGTTTTTTGCTGCAAGTATTGCTCTCTTTGTCATGAAGAATAGTGTAATTTGAGCTGCTTACACTCCTAAAATAGCAGGACTTATCGACATTATATCGGTATTCTTGTTGGGTGCTGCCCAATCCGCTGACCACCAAGCTGTCCTTAACAAGCATATATCCCTGGGCATTTTGTATATTGTTTAGAGTACTCGTGGAGAATCCAAGATCGGAATTCTTTTCCTTCTTCTCCTTGAAACCCAATGTTAGATTAGCTAGAGAAACATAGGTATCATTTCCTTTATCGACAGTGTTAGAATAATCATAGAAGTCAAACGTTTTGAATGATCTGAGAGAGTGGACCGATGATGATGGTATCTTGGCATCGACACTGCTATTGAAATTTATCGTCTGATTAATGATCTGCAAATTCCCATCGTCCCCCATCACCATAACATTACTATAGCTGAATCCTTGGGAAGATTTCGTCACGATCTTTCCATGAGATGAATTCACCCATCCGCTATATATAATTGATCTACTAACATTTGTAATAAATGATCCATCAAAACCAGTGAAATTCGATGTAAAAGATACCTTGAGAAGACCGATATTGTAATTTGACATCTTGCCTTCCGTCTTCTCATTCTTCTTATCAAGCCAAAGATGTAAATTTGCATCAATGTACCAAACGTTTAGTGCATTTGTAACGCTAAATCCAAAAGTATGGACTTTTCCATCCAAAATCTTTGCTAACAATGGAGTAATCTCGATATCGTAAGAAGGGAGATCAAACGAACCAATTCCTGTGATTGGTCTCCAGAAAAGGGGATTAACACCCCCTGTGTAAATCACTGTAAAAGGCCAGACTGCGCCAACTACCTTATTGTCCAAACTTACGACAACTTCCCTAAAAGGTCCATTCCCAGGAACACCAGTAAGGTTATTCACCTCGATGTACTCGTTCGGATAATTTCCAAACCAAAACTCATCATTCTCATGAAATGAAACATAGACCTCTAGCACAGCCCTATATGCATTTTGTGGAATCTTGAATTCTTTAGACTCTACATCTGTGGAGTTCTCAATCTCAAACCACAACCCATCATTCAAAGGCAAGTTTCTTGAAATCGGCAATATTAAATCAGCCCCAGAACCAAACCCATAATCTAATTCACCATAATTAGCCTCAAATTTACCATATTTTTTTTCAGCGGGATAAAAATGAAGAGTAACATTAACATGGTACACACCAGTATAAGTATTATCAACAAGATTGCCCATATAAACAGCAAGAGTTTGATTAGTCATGAGCAAAGAATAATACTTAGTGATATCCTTTTTAACAGTCCAAACAATCCCAGTTGCTTTTGGTTCAGCAGTGCAGCTCCTAAGAATCTCCACTCCACCAAGCCAGATCCCAAAGATCCTATCAAATTGCCTGCCTTTACATGTTGCTGTCCATTCAAGAACAATTTTTGCAAATTTCTGAGATGGGCAATCCAAAGGGGGAGTGTAATGAGCAAGAACTGGGGGTTTCCCATATGTGTAGCCAAAGTCATGTTGAAGGACCATGTATGAACAAGGTTTGGTCTTGGGAAGATTTATGGGTTTGGTGACTTCAAAGAAAGTTGCAGGAGTAGTGCTTTTGTTTAAAATTGAAGTGGGCTCAGAAATTAGTTGTGATCTGAAACGCGCGGTTGTTGAATGGAGGTTGGCGGCGGAGAGGGGCGTTGGTTGGTGGAGGAAATAGAGAGAAGAGAGGAAAAGGAGAAGGATGGAGGAAGCCATTTATGGAGTAGAAGTGAAGTTTGTTTGCCTACTCAATTGCTATAACGTTTTTGTTCGATTGGAGTAGAAATCAGTGCTCAAGAAAGTGGAAAGAGTATAGGATAATACGGAAATTTCGATTTCATTGGCTTTGATTTCTCCAACAAATTAGAAGTTTAGTCCAGTCCATTTCTTAGGTTTCCCCGTTTTCATTTATTTATTTATTATTATTTGTTTTTGGGTTATGTTAATGAGACAATGAAAATTACAACATTAGTCCTCAACCTAATTCGTAATTTCTAAACTCAAGTCAAATAGATGTTTCCAAAATTCTTACTCTTTCATTTTTCATCGATTTATCTATAGTCTCACAAGAAAATATAGTCTCCTTGTTATGAAATTATAGGACTCAGAAGAGTTGGTACAGAAGGAAGTTCACGAGAAAACATTCAATGAAATTTAGAAATATTAAAGTGTAATGATTTAGGAAATTCATTGCAAGCAACAACTTCTTCGATTTGAAGTGTAATTTATTTTTATTTTTTTAATTTGCTTTCATCGAATTTGAATTAGAAGAACTTTTGTGGACCTAAATTGTTGAGACAAATTCATCCCAAATCAGCGTACAAATATTCCATGAAGTTCAAACATGAACTTTCTTC